AATTGTGAGGACCCCAAACCATTGCATATTATTTTTATTATCAGGGAAGGTCTTTCCTCATAAATTAATTGACTTTTGAACCCATGAACCCTTCCGTGTGAATCTGACACTGGTGCAGAAAAGGAATTGTGATTTGGGAGTTCTTGTGTCATCCACATCTGTGAAATGCCATCCAATAATGTCACAAATCAAAAGATCCAAAAGACAGACATAATGTAAAAACATGCTAAAAAATATCAACTGCTTGATGCAGAATACTTTCTTTGGTTTAATATAACTAATACTGACTCATAACTTAAATTTAGATTCATCGAAGGATATTCTTGTAGACTGTGAGCCCAGCAGACACATGTCCAAGCCTCATCATTCTTCTTCACCCAGGGCCAAAGCCTTACTCACATGCTGCTGTTTGCTCATGTGGTTCCTACTTACTGTCATTTAAAAGAAATGAAAGATGCAGTACAGAGGATGCTGTACCAGAAGCAATTTGTTCCCAGCGAGACCTTTTTAGCTACACAGGATCATGAAATCATCAAAGTGCCAGGAGAACTTCTCAGAACTAAACTGCCCTATTGCTAAAATAAGCTTTAATTGATTGGGAATTGCAGTGAGCCTGACAATCTGTTCAATTCATTATTATTTTTCCTTTCAAGCTTCAATTCATATGTTCTAAAGTGACTGCATTGCTGTTCACACATACCTCCCTGCCCACGCTGCAGGCAAAGAAACCACCCACAGCCCTTGTTGCTCCAGTGGAGCTGCTGGGTATACCTGGAGGAAAGCAAAAATGCTGATTGAGAGTGAAGTTTAAATAAAGATGATGGGAGTGTTCTGTAAATCACTAAATGCCACGCTGTGCTTCCCTCCGCTTGGAGGAGAGATCTCCTGGGGACGTCTCTCCCTGTCAGAGGCATTTCATTCATCTTAGCTTGTAGGGCACTGCATCCCGTAGGCCAGATGCTGTCGTAACCCCTTTGTTGGGGATTAGTAATGGGTTGTGGATGAACTCCCACCCTGCATTCCCAGTTTCAGGTTTTTAAAGAGCTAGCACAACTAACTGGCTACACTCTTGGTTATTTCCATACGTAGCCTGGTGCAGGCTCCCTAGAGAAAGGTCAGCGCCACCAACTAAGCTGCTGGTAGACGTGCAGAACTTTGGGCACGTGGAAAGGAGCACATTGCTGGGCAGAATCACAGAATCACTGAGGTTGGAAAACACCTCCAAGATCCCCAAGCCCAAGCCCAACCCATTCTCACCATGCCCACTGCCCATGTCCCCATGTGCCATATCTCCACAGTTCTGGAGCACCTCCAGGGACGAAGATTCCACCACCTCCCTAGGCAGCCCGTGCCAATGCCTGACCAAAGAGAAGGGTGCACTGGAAGCAGGAGGATTATAGAGGATGTCAGTGAGGTCAGAAAATGGAGGTTCTTCAATGAAGAATGAGGTGAGGCTCAGGGTCTGCACCACATGGAATCATGGAATCACATAAATAGGAAGTTGATGAGTACTGAAGCTGGTGGATCAATCACGAGGTGTATACTTTATTACTTTGAATGGAAAATCAGCACAGAACTGTGATAAAAGGAGAAAGGTAACCTTTCTGAAGCCCAAATCATATCCTAAAATAGCTCTCTTTGTCTTGATTGTGTAGTATAAAATTTTTGAAGGAATCAATTAGCTTGTTGCTCAGAGAAATCTTCACTACATAGAATTATGGAGTTGTTAAGTTGGAAGGGACCCTTAAAGGTCATCTGGTCCAACTCTACTGTTCTGATCAGTGCTATTCACTGACATAGCAAAATGCATTCTGACATCAAAGTCATTGCTTCTGTGAACTGCATCCAAAATTGTATGCCATATTTTAAGGTTTGTTAATATGTCAGATTAACATTTTAGGGTAAAATTTTGCTCTTAAAATCGTGAAATCAACACAAATTGAGCTTGTCTCCAGTAGATGATGTTGTCACTGTTAGACAGTGTGTGGTTGTTCTTCTGACCATAGAAATGTTTCATTGCATTAACAGCTAGGATATTTTCTGAAAAAAGAAATATCAAAACTTTCATCTGTCACTTTTAACATGGGTGGCACTAGCTCCAGTGCTTCATAGGCATTCACCAGAATGTGAAGTTTGCTTGTTTAAGCTCGGTTTGGTGAAGCCCGTGGGAGTTTTAACTTGATTGGGATAGGTAAGTGCCACCCATGAGCTCCTTTATGGCTCTGGCACCATCGCAGCCCTCTGGGTTTGACCTCCCCCACTGTCTATGAGAACATGGTTGGAAGGAAACTGGTGGTGATGTAGTGGATATCCAGTGTGCAGAACATATGTTATCTCCAGGACACATCCTCCACAGGTAGCTCTGGTGCCAGCATGGCTTTCGTCACCCCCTCATGCCTCAACCCAGCTAAATAAACATTTACACTTCAGCTGAATCCTTCCAGCTTCTTTAATACCCAGTTGCAGGCATACAGATTCATGGTGGTAGTGGGACAAGATGTTGTGTTAAGCAATAGGTCGTGCTGATAAATGCATATTTGATATTGCAAAAGAGTTAATACTTACAGACACATGTTAATAGGTTTCACATTTAGCTGAACCTTATGGGCATGTACATGTGTGCCAGTGCTCAGCTAAATCAGTGGTCTGGCAGTTGACACAAGTATTGTAGAAACTTTCATTTAGAGGAAAAGGAAGGTAGGAGAGTGAGATCTGAAAGATCTACAGCCTTACAAAGCTGTTAATAATCTGCTCTGTGAAGTTCTTTAACGTGCATAACAAAGAAGGGTGGAGGGTGGCTGAGCAGGCAAGGAGGGAAGCATTCCTGTAGGGGAATGTTGTGCTTATTGTGCTTTACTCTGAACCTGTATGGTCCTGTGAGCTTCATATATTCATTCAGTGATGCATACTGTGATTTAAATAGCTAACAAGACTGATCCTGCTCTCCGACACATGAATGCCCTTGCTTCCAGCTGAAATGAGAGTGCACAGTCAAATGCTGAATCAGATGACTGGTTTAAGGAGAGATGCTTAGCGAAATTCCCAGCCAGACCTGCCCATCAGCAGTGAATTTCTCTGTTTTATTTAAGCTCTAAATAAACTGCAACTCAGAAATAAGGACTACACGTTGTCCCTTCAGCAGAGTTGTGCTTGGTGCTTGCACAGAAGAAGCACTGAAGACATCAGGAATGAAATCTCTGCAAGATGTGGCACAGAAAACGCTCTCTATGTATGTGTCCGTTTGCTTTGCTCTTTGCATTAGGTTTGCAGTGGTTCTGCACAGAGGTGTCTCAGTGCTGTATCTTCTGATGCAGTGCAGAAGGGTAAGAGGACACAAATCAAAGGCTGCATGACTGCATGTGGCCTTGCTCAGCTCAAGCTGAATAGCTTGCTGAGTTTGGTGCACTGTCCCAGTAGCAAATCACTTCAAATGGAGAGGAATAAAGGAAGGAAGGCAGAACGTTTTCACTAAAACTAGCTGATATTACTGTCTGCAAAAGTAGTATCACACTAACAGAAGGTCCTAAGTAGCCAAATTTTCCTCGCTTATTCTTCAACTGAGACAAATTTATTCGGGATGATTTTCAAATGTACCCATAAAAATCTGAAAAATCAAAGCATTGACTGCATTTTCCTTCACAGGTGCCTTTATTTCTCAGCTTCCCAGTGCAAATCCACTTTCACAGCATTTACATAGCAGCCCCACTGTTCTTCCTGTTGCTGGGGATTAAGTTGCATGTAAATGGTATTGTTCCTGTATGGAAGTATTCTCATGTTCTATGAGCTGACATGTACTGATTATTGAAAGAAACATATTTGGCCTTGCAACTGGTGAGTTTGATGGGAGGGAATCCAGCCAATGCTGCTGTTTAATTTACAGTCGCCCGTATGTGTGATATTCCCAGTATAATAGAAGTGAGCACTTCCAAAACAGTTATTTCTCCATCCAGATTGTTATTCTTGTTCTGACCCCGGATGTATTTCCATGTAAGCATTGCCCTGTCCTTCTTTTCCCTGTGGCTGTCTGTTCCTGGGACAGGGCACTGGGCTGCTGATCTTTGCCTAGCCTCAGGATGACCGTAGTTCTTGCGTGGACAAATGAAGCCTAAAGCCTTCTGCTGGGCTCATAAATGCAGGTGTGAAGCTTTGAAAGGACTGGTAGGGGGCAGCCAGCCCATGGTAGGGTCCCTTCCAACCCAATCATTCTGTGAAAATCAAGAGAGTCTGAATGGGTGGAATTACCCCAAGGTCTCCTGCCTGCAGGGACTCAAGGTTCAGGTTCATATCTCAAGCACTTTTATTACCTCTGTTAGTTACAACAAAAGCAGCTGCTTGCTGCTTTGCACTGCTGGCTAATGGCATGTTTTGCACACACTGATTTACCTGTTGGAAAATTTATCGACACAAATATTTTCCTGTTACCTTAGATGAGGGTTTATTTCACTATGTTTTGTTATCAAAATCCCCATTCCCTGTCCTCCATTTGGGCAAAACAAACCCCTAGCTGTGATGTTTACAAAGCTTTCATTAGAACTTGTTAAAGAAGAGCTGGGAGTAGTAGGCTTTGCTCTCACATCAGCAACAAAAGTGCCATTATTTCCCTGCGAGCAGCATGGAGCCCTCCGGATGACAGGGAGATTTCAGGCAGCTCTGATACTTGTGGGCAAGGTCATGTTCTTTGCCTTTTGCAAAAAGCAGTGCTCCCCGCAGAGAGCAATCAGAATATTTGTCTCTTTAAGTGAATCTGAGAGGCAGGCTGCGCGCGGCTGCTGCAGGGCTGCTCCGTGCCTCCAGTACATCAGCATGCAGGAACTGAGAGCGTGTCCTTGAAGGATGCTCAGCGTCCTTGCTCACTCTGTAGGAATAACTAGGGGAAATGTAGGAGCCCAAACAGTGAGTGGTATGTGAGTACAGCATCACATTTGGCATGCAAACCTGTAATACCAGTGGCACACTGCTTCCCTGCCAGGCTGACCAGATTGCTGTTGTTGTTTTTGCAGGAGACTGAAGGAAACCCTCATGACTGCTCCGCACTCATTCCTCAATAGCACACCCTGATCACGTCTCCGTGTGAGCACATTGCACTGGGATTGCTGAGCAGAAGCAGCAAGGAGCTGATGGTGATGCGTTTCCAGCGCGGGCTGCCAGAGCCCTCTGTTTGCCATTGGCTGCTGTTTTCTGGTTTATTTGCAGCTTCCCCCATCTGGAATATGAAAATTGGATTGGAGTAGGTAATTGCTAGCAGCGGGTTTTTGAGAGAGGCTTTGTGGGAGTGGAATGCCTCTTGCACAGCACTGCCTGCGCTGAAAGAGCTCTGATTTTAGATGTTAGCCACGTCTGAATCTCTGGGAAACTTTACCGTGGGAGCACTGCACACAATCCTGGAGCTGACAGCCAAAGAGGCACGGAGGGGGCAGACAATGGGATGCCCTGTCCTTGGGTTGCTCCAAGAACAGACACCCGGAGCTCCCCTTGGCTGCCCTGCAAAACAAGCGTGAAGGTGACCATGGACTGAATCATACCCAACGGAGATCCCACAGCTGTTAAGGATGGGATACACAGACCCCTCGTCGGGCAGGGATTTGCTGGGAAACAGAACTTTGTTCTTCATCTTCATCTGCGCCTTCGCTGTGGTCACCCTGCTGCAGCAGATCCTTTACGGGAGGAACTATCTCAAAAGGTAAGGGGTGAGACTGAGTGGAAAAGTTGCCTTCTCCAACCAGTTCTGCTGGTCTGAACCACCTCCTGGCATTGTGCTGGCAGTACGAACCTCTGGTCTGGGAGAGTGTATCCGGCATCTGCAGTGTCTGTTTGATTATTAATAACAGCATGAGGCATTTTGTACTGACTTGTGTTATTGGCATTTATTGACTTATGCTTTTAGGATATCTTCACCTTGGTGTTTCTTAATTCTCAGCTGTTATTAAAGACTGGGTCTCACTTAGGATGTAACTGTGCCACCTGAATTTTTATTTTGACCAGACCCTGCCATCCAGGCTTTTCACTCCACGTAAGTTGAAGCTGAAATGCTTTCAGAGGTTGAACTAAGGCAGCATGGTTCCTGCTTAAACTTTGGCGTTGTTAGAAACAAACATGCCAAGGCCATTCTTAAAATCAACGTAACAATGCTAGTAATCCAAACAGCAGAGAAAGCACTTGTTTTTTTCCCTGCTGTATTCTAGTGAATTTGCTGCTGAAGCTGCTGTGTTGAAGAGCACATCAGCCTTTGATCTGAAACAGTGCTGCTCGTGTTACAGCAAAAACCAGTGGGGACCTCCAAGTGCTTAAACTCGACCCATGCAGAGTTTATTTTGCTTAAATCTAGTTTGAAGAGTTATGGCTGATATGATTTTATAACGGGGAATGTTTGTTTTGAGGGCTCTGAGGTAAGTAGGCAGCTGCTGTGGAATTTTTTATGGGAACTGAGCTGTAACTCGCCAAAAGAGATCAATGGTTTGGCTCCTGATTTGCAGTGCTAAGAGCAAGGAAAATACTGACAAATCAGCAAACATTTCTTGCCAAGAGGGGAGATAGCAAGCGTACTGTTAGTATGTATGGACAGATGTGTTGTGGGTTAGCTGAGCAGTTTGTGTGCCCTGCTCAGTGGTGAGGGGTGATGGTTTGGGCAGCTCACTTACAGAAAGGTGTGACTAGATTGGAAGGAACCGAAGGGAAGGAGCAAGAATGAGCTGAGTTGCAGAAGGCACAGCAGATAATTGCTTGTTTACCTTGGAGAAAATTGAGGGGAGATATGATAACCATCTTGAAATATCTAGTGTTTGGAAAGATGAAGGTAACGAGCACATTTCGGTGACAGCTCATGGGGTGACAAGAAGTCACGTGTTTTAATTACAACATAAAAGATTTGTTTCACAAAAAGGGAAAACTTCTAAAGCACAAGGCTACCTAAGGAGGTATTAAATCTCTGTCTTTGGGGGCTGCAGGAACCCGTCAGATAGACCAGAATGGTCTTGGTGCCACAAGGATAACCTGATACCCACGTGAGTTCTCATTTTGCCTTACTTTTCCAATTTGTCCTGTAGGCCTTGCAGCCAGTAACTGGTTTTCCTATGTGCAAGTGATTGCAGCAGGATTAGTGCTGACAAATAGATCCCAAGTAGAGATGGAAGTGAGAAATGGCCAAGTGAAAATACAGTAGTGAGAAGATACAACGGAAGACTTTCTTTTGGGGCTAGTCTGTGTGCTACCACATGCCCTGGGACAGCCAGCAGGGAATGCAAAATGAGCAATGTTCAATTCCTAGATTTGCTAGGAAAAGCTTTGGTTTTGAACAATGCCATTCAAGGAGCTCAGGCAAAGAATCGTGCATTCATTTTGTCACTTTGACCACAAAACACGGCTGTTTTTTGTTTCTTTTTAATCCAGCTTGTGATGATTTGTCATTTTTCCTTCTTTTTCTCACACAAACTATCTCCAGGCAGGTTTCTCCCTCACTTAATGGGAAAAAGCACTTAGAGTCCTTTCTGCTGGGCAGTGCTAGTTCTGTTGGCTGCAGAAATGACAATTCAGAATGTGGCAGTCTCAGGCTGCCAGTTATTAAGGACAGAAAAAGTCACATATCAGCCCACGTCCTTACCATAACATCATCATGAAGATACTTCTTTCCCTGAGGTGCATTACAGTAACTGATGTTGGGTTTCTTGCCAGTGGCTGTAACTTGTGCCCAGTCTCCTCTTTCACAAATCCCTGCTAGGAGCTGTGAGGCTCCTTGGGCATGTTACATCTCGCACCTTCAGGTCTGTGGTGGTTTTGGAGAGCATCTTTGCAGAGAAGTGGGATATTTATAGCCTCGGAGCCTCTTGCCAAGCTGGAGCCTGGGGACGCTGCCTAAACCCAAAGCCATTTACATGCTGGGATCCAACATGCTGTTTGGTTTATGACAGCGTTTGCTTGATATCATCCCAACCTCTGCAACAGTAACAGCCCTCTGGGCCTCCTCCCAAGGCAGCAGGAAGAAATTCCGTTGTGTATTTAGGCAAAGCTGAAAATTGCCCTGAAATACTCTTCTGCTAAATGTGCAATGCTTTTAAGCCTAAATATAACACAAGGCTGGCTTGTTCCTCTGCAAGGAGATGGTGGAAACGGCTGATGTCCGGCGAGACTGAAACCAAGCAGCTAAAACAGGGAGCTTGGACAGAATATTGGGGCTGCATCAGCTCCTCCACTGATGGCTGGACTTGGTGGTCTTAGACCAATCTTAATCATTCTGTGATTCTATTACGAGGGACTTGGTCCCCATAAGGGGTATGGACAAAGTGGTGTTTGTTAGGAGTGGAAAACACACAGTTTGTTGGGAGCCAGATGGAAATGTGAGCTGTATGGTTGTGAGCTCTGCTCTGCGCTGAAGAAGTAGAGAACAGGCTGGCTGCATTGCCAGCAACACTCCTCAAGCTCCCATGGACACTGGTGGCCCTCCATCTACCCATAGCCATGCCCCAAGCCCACGGGGACAGTAGGGCTGCAGACAAGATTGAATCTCCAGGAGAGGAACAGCACTCAGAGAAATTCAAGAAGGGTTCCAGGCTTGGTGAAGTTCTCTCTTTCCCAGGTTTCCAAGTTTTCACGCATTTTTCACTTACCATATAAATGTTGTTCATTTCCTTTGGCTGCTGCTTTGTAATGTGCCTTTGGAAAGCAGAGTCCTGCCCGCCTTTTTTTTACTCTTTTTCGTTTTTTTCCATCTCTTAGCAGTGCTCTCAGGAAAGGCATCCCCATAGCAGCTGAAGTCTGAATTAGAGTTAAGCTCCACGACTTCAGAAAGCTGTGGTCTATGATGCTCCTTATCCCGAGTAAAAAGGATGATGAAATGAGATATAATTAAGGGACTTTAATACGGATCTCTGGGGTAATTATTTTTATTTTAGGATTAATGGGATGATTAAAAGCCCACTGGATTGATCTGTTAAAGTAGGTTAAACGCTGTGGACTTCTGCTTAAACCCAGAGCTTTTGCTTGCTGTTGTATTAACTTATCTCTCCAGTGCTCAGCTTTTGGCTGAATTTTCCTTTGGATCAGATGCTCAGCTGAGGGCTGGCCTTCTTTTTGTGAGCCCCTGTTTGGTCAGCAGGGAATAGCCCTGGATTACATCCGGAAACTGCCAGTACTGTATAAACTGCTGAAATGGTCCCTGTTCTCCTCTTCCAACCTGTAGCGTGGAATAGATCAATAGAATAATACTTGAATATTACTTTGCTAGATATCTATGTTCTGTTGACAGGATTTTCACGAAATACTGGTTTTCTGACTTCTGCACAGAGTGAGAGCCTGCTGAAGAAGTGAATCTGCCCATTTGAAAACATTTTTGAGTAGGGTGAGAGCACTTTTGCAAAGATATTGAAGACTTTCAGAGTGGTTACTGTAGAGTCTGTCATGTATGAAAACACAAAGAATTACTTAGCAAAGAAGAGCAAACCTTGCCATGCAGCAGAATGCCTTGTTTGAAAGCTTTATGTCTTTTAAGTGAGATTTAAAAAAAACCCAAACATTCTATGTATGTCTGTGTACCTTATAACTAATACCAGACTCTCATAGGTTTATACCACCATTTTGGTATTTTTGAAGTAGCTTAGCAAATGAGCTCCTAGATGTATTTAACCCTTTATTTACCCTCTTAAGAAAGGTAACGTAAATACAGCAGGAGCAAATAGAAGACAGTGAACAAACGTGGACTGCATCTTGAAGGAGTCATGTGGTTTGCAGAGTGCTGTAACACAAGATCAGATCTCCCTTATATCAGGGCCAAATTTCTTTCCATTTAAATATTTCTCCCAGGAGACAAGCTGAAGGTCACCCCATGATTCATTTATCTAATGCACATTTATCTAATTATCTCTGTGCCTCCACTGTTTCTAACCAGAAATATTATCCAAGTGGAATGACATGCGACCCATGAGGCATCTGGCTGAATCCCTGACAGGCTTGTGGAGCAGCTCTTGGTTGTGTTGGTTTTCTTCAGAAGAAAAGAGTGCTGGAAACTTCAGGAGATGTGAAAGTCTTGAAGCTATATGGACAAATATGTGTATGCATGGAAAACGCACACAGGATATGGCTGTCCTCTGAAGATGCTGGATGTATCCCAGCAGATCAGAGAAGCTGAGACTTCTCAAGAGCATTTCAAGGTGTGACGGGGATCACGGAGCTGGCATCCACATCTTGGGAAGCTGGTATCCCCATCTTACCATCAAGTGGCTAAAGTTTTGGTACCAGAGCATGGAGGCATGTTGCTTCCTCTCTCGGATTCCCTGGAAGCAATCTTTAATGCAGAAATCAGGCAGGAATTTAATCCCTGCTTCCTGTAGACTTGCTTTGTTGCTAGCCTCATTGTGTTGCACCTTCAAGTGGTTAGAAAAGCGAGTCCCTCAACTGCCAAACCTTGTCCATTCCTCAGATGACAGTAATTTAAAGCAATGGGAGTCAGTTATTCCAATATTTTGCATATTCAAATTGCATTATCGTCAGTGTGTTAGACCATGCTCCTTCCCGAGCTCAACATGAGAGCTGTGAGGCACTGCAGTGACACACAGATGCTTTCCTCTTTCCCAGTGGCCACTGGGTGATCCCTGTTCCCCACATACCAGCTGCATAGATTTTGAATTGTGTTGGGAGCTCTGCAGAAGCTTTGTATCCTGGAGTGGTGGATTGCAGATGTCCCGTTACCTG